CCTAGGATCGAGGTAAGACTAACTGGCCTATAGTTTCCCGGGTCCTCCCTCCTCCCTTTTTTGAAGATTGGAACCACATTGGCCCTCTTCCAGTCCTCCGGCACCTCTCCAGTGCACCACGAGTGCTCGTAAAGCCATGCCAGGGGACCTGCAATGACCTCGTTATCCCAGGTGATGCCTGGGGGAACAGAGCCTCACCTATTTTCCACTGGTCCCCTCTGGTGAGTTTATAGACATTAATCCCTATGATGTTGGTAAATACTCAGAGTATCAAATAATCCTTAAGTCAATTTTCTCCTAGCTATATTCAGAAATATGAATGTGCCATCTAGAATAAGATAAGGTTAGCAAGCCCATAAATGGCTTCTGTAAAATAAGAAAAAATAGTAATGAAGAACATAAAAAAAATAGTAGGCAAGACATACTTGTTAGAAGTGCTCTATGTTCTGGTGAAACCATTTTTGACTGGAAACACAATGGTGACCAAAATATTTGAACTATGAAACTATGAAACTACTTGCTGGCCTTTTCCATGCACAGGGAGATGGACTTGGCATATTTGAATAAAACACTGATTATGAACCTGATTTGGAAGCATTTATTTATGCGAGTAACTTTCCACAATGTCAGTAGTCTTATTGATTGTTGAGGCGAATTGAGTAAATTTAACAATTGAGATTTTGACAGATTCCCAAATATTTAATTGTTATGCCTTTTCAGTTGTTGTGTATTTGTCTTAGAGATTTACCTGTTTCCTTTTTCTTCTACTGTGGTAAATATTAGGCATTTCTATAGAGAAAAATAAAGTTAGCAACCACCACTAAATTCAAAATACCCTTGGTAGTTGTAACAGGATGGGCATCCTAGAGGTCACTGTGCTCTCCCCTAGCACCCCCTTACTGTGCCAGGTTGCCTAAAGAGCATCCTCCATTCTCGCCCGCCCTGTTGTTGATGTTATATATGTATTATAGGGAGGCTGCCTTTCTGTTCTTTTGGTCACAGTTTCCTGTTGTGCTCTGGCTCATTCTACATTGGGTGGCTCTGTGTACCCTCAGCCTTATGGGCTATGCGTGGCTTCAACCACCCCTGTACCCCGCCCCAAGCCTCGCAGATGTACCAGATGTTGTTCAGTCTTACATTCTCTGTGACACCCGGGCTCTCCGCAGCCCTCCTCTTTGGGGCTTCTCGCTGCCCCCCTCTCTGGGGCTCAGAGTCGGCACACCTCAATATAGCATCCTCCCTGGTGCTTGGGTCAGCACACCCCCAATGCAGCAGCTTCTCTCTCATTTAGGGTCAGCACACCCCCATGCAGCAGCTTCTCTCTCATTTAGGGTCAGCACACCCCCAATACTGCACCCTCTCTGGCACCTGGGTCCCCACACTGCCATGGACCCCCTATGAGGCCTCCTCCATCCCCTTATAGCCTCTCCCAAGCCACCAGTTTAAACAGCAAACAAAACACAAGCCCCTGGGCTATAACATTATTCAAGCCACTCCAAGGGTTCTCCATCTCTCACCAGTATCACATTCTTCAGGCATCTTCCTTTCCCTCACTCAGGCAGAGCTCCCTCCCCCTTGGTTGCCAGCAGGGAACTGGCTCCTTGGCCTCAGCCCTGGTGTTTATATGGGAGCCAGGCCCTGCCCCTTCCGGTCAGCTGACCAGGCAGGTGTGGGTCATTAGCTCCCTCTAGTTGCCCTAGCAACAAACACCTAGGTATTTGTTCTCTTGCTTCACAAGTAGCATGCACCTTAGTGCCCTGCTACAGTAGTCTTAGCTAAGCTCATAAAACTAGGATGTAAAACTAGGATCCATCTGCTCATCTATAACACATTTTTTAAGTATTTGCAGAAGTCTGAAAACAGAATATTATGATCCATCTGTTTCTAGGTCTTATATTCTGTTATTGAGGCCAGTGGGCTGAAGTAAGTATGAAAGACTGAAGTAAGGCATCTCCAAACTGAATTTCAGCTGAAACTTTGAATTCTTTTACTGTAGGAGAATTTTTGAGAGGAGATTTCATTCTGGTTTAAACTTTCAAACCTATGAGGCAAAGGATGAAATCTGGCCAGGGGTAAAGGCACCATGAAGACCTGAGCTGGGTAATCACTTCTGTGCGGGTCACAGATTTCTTGGTGATTGATCCAAATCTGTCATATGGACTCCCACAGGAACTGAGGGCTGTCATAAATCTCACTACATTCTCTGCCAATTTCAAGATGCTTCTTTAACCTAGCTTTTTAATGATAAGCACAGTGTGTAAGACAAGCCTTCCGTATCTATTGTTTTGCCTCTCTGCCGTATTTTAATTTTATTGAATATTCCATTGTCCTTATCTTATTAGATGGCATAACAGTAGTTCCTGATCTACCTTCACTAGGTTTTTTGTATTTTTTATATATTCTTATCATGTCCCATTTTTTTAACAATCCCAATTTATCTACTGCCTCCTTCATAAGAGAGTTTTTCTGTGCCTCTGTTAATTTTGTTGTTCTCTGAACATCTTCTAATGTTGCAATTTCCTTTTTGATATGGGTGACTATAATTGATGTAGCACTCTAAATATGGCCAAAAATCTTTGGGTGGTGAGAATTGACATGGTTCTATCAAAGGTAATGTGTCTCAGTTGATTACAGTAGAATGTAGCATTGTATTTTGCTTAGACAAAATATAGTGACTCTTAAATTAATTCCACACTGTTTGTTGGTACTTTTTTGCTCTACATTTCCATAAAGTCAACTTGTAATAAACACTTCAACTTTATTTGCCTCTGGGTCAATTTACTGTTTAATATCAGTAATAATAGTTGATGCATAAAGCACTCTGTACATATCATTAGAAGTAATATAGATCCATGCATGCATAATGAATTTGTATGACAACACTTTTCTTGCTAGCGCTGAAGTAGAATAAACTTTGTAACAGTGCCTTAATTCTAGTTTAACTATATAAAAATATAAAAATCACTTGTAGCATAATCCTTGGAGTATTATCAGAATTTTAGCAAAATGAAGGCAGAATACTCAGCCATGACATTTGAGAGCAAAAATTGGTTTTGACCATATTCTTACCAAAACATTAAAAACAAACACCCTTCCCCCCAAGCCTCAAACTCAGAAACCACTGAAGACAAGAACTGAAAATAAGGAGAGTAAAACAGTAGAGGGCTTATTATTACAGGAATGCATTTATTGTCTATGTCTTCCAGCAACTATGGAAAGGGTTTAATATATATTTGCTTTGTATCAGTCTTTGCAAAAGTAACAAAACCTAGTAAGAACCTATCTGTGCATAGCAAAGCCGTTGTTTTTTAAAGACGGACTATATGAAAATCCAACGTATTATAATTAGAAATCTGGTGTAATTTTTTTATCTAAAACTACCCTTTGGGTGAATTCTATATTGAGTCATTTGTTTATTCCACACTGAATTGCCATTTAAAGTTACTTCAGTCTATGGGATGTGGCAGCCCATTATGTAGGTTTATTCATCATTCTAATCTGAGAGTTTTGGAAACTATTGTATTCATAAAACTAAAGAGGTTTGTAGCTCATGCTGTTGGACACAATGAAACAGTTGCAGTTATAGGCCTTTGGCTGAGATTATACTTCAAACGTAATTAATCTGTTAGCTCCATGATAAATGGCAATTGGGCCATAAATTGAGGCAATTCGTGGTGTGACAAAAAAGGAAAAGTATTCATAAAAAGTATTTCATAAAATATGTGTAATATTTTTTAGCTGGTTTCTATCTCGCCTTAAACTGAACATGTGTCAGGTTAGTCTCATTGTGTAGCCTGAAGCTGGCTGCACGATGGGGCTTGGAAAGTATATATTCTTTGCAAATATTTTTAAAATAAAAGTCAAATAGATTCCCCAAAATAACCTCAATCTAAAACTGAGTCGACCATGCCAGATTGGTTTATGAAGCCGTCAATCTACGAAGGAAGGAAGAGGTAGAAGGTTTCTCCTCATCAGTTTTATATTGTTGTTCATGGTGGATGAATTAGCAGAAATCCTTCCTGGACGCTGCAGTTATCAATCGTGAAATATCAGATTTGGTAAAACTAAAAATATTATTGGCAAAATGTAGTCCAGCAGTTTCTATTATATGCAAGCTTCTTTCTCCTTTGATAGTGACTTCCAAACCTGGCTGTGGTCCTTGAGAGGCATTTCCTTTGCTTTTTTAAAACATAAAACCTATTTAAAACTAGCTTTATTGACTTCTTCTCTTTTGGGGCATTTATAGAGAGTCTAATAATATTAAGTGCTTGTTCCCAGACATATGCACCCTTTTTTACACTTGATTTGAATATTTTTAGGTGCTTTAATGCCTATAGATGACTGTTCTTCATGGTAATCCTTTTCTCTTTTTATTTCCGATTTTAACATTTAATTTGGGGGGTTGTTCTATGGAGGGTTGTGTAGCTGGCCACTTTTTTAAAGGATACTTGAACTACCCCTGAAACACATTTTCTACACAGCAATGTGGGGCTCACCCTGCCCTTTTTACATTTAAGTAGTTTATGTCATTTCAAGCCATGTTTATTGTTCTAGTGCCATCTTGTTTTTCTCCTCCCCCCACTTCCCAAGGTCCAATTCTTCTAGTCTTGTATTGAGTGGTTCCTTACTGTGTGATTATTAACATTAGTTTTCAGTGGAATTACTTGCATAATAAAGTTTATGACTAATAAAGTAGGGCTTGAAGAATTGGGTATTCAGAGATGAAACTGTAGTTTTTGATTTCCAAGATTTGTCTTTGTGTTTCTTTTTTGGTCAAATGGTTCAGTTATTAACCTGATATGGGGGAGTCAAAAGAAACTAGTAACCTTAAACATTTTGTATAGATCTCATTCTAATTAATAGCGTTGTTAATCAACTTCTTATACAGGGAACAAGAAAAGCTGGTAAAGTGAGGAAAAATCAATATTACTCACTTGAAACTTCTAAGATTCTCTCTTACATGTCATTTTAATGCCTATGAATCTCTTTTCTCTTTCTAGGCAATGTTCAGTCTCTGTATGCTTGAAAGTGGAGCTGATGAAGTGAATCTGCATGGTGTCACAAGCCTAGGTTTAAAACAGGCCTTGAATTTTGCATACACGGGACAGGTACTGTATAATCCTTTCAATTCAAAGACCTGCATCAACAAATACAACCTTATGCTAAATCTAAATACACAAGTAATATGCAATCTAAATAATATATTGTTAGTCTTCACAAAATACAAATGTTTGAGCCTGTTGGCATATAGAATAATGGTTCTTACAAGAGCTGTCAGTTGATCTCTGTTAATGTGGGCAATCAACATGTTAATTGGATCTTGCATTCATTTTTTTAATGTGTTAATTATGCATGTGGTCTTGGAGCCCACATCCGGTCTCTACTCCACAGCTGTCACTTTTGCTTCTGGGCTTCTGGCAATGCAGAGGACTGCAGGGTAGCCCAAGTGCGGGCTCTGGGCTGCTGCAGCAGGCAGTGGAGGGGCACATGCAGATGCAGACAGACAGGCACACTACAGATGCATTGATATATTGGTGCCATATTGGGATGCTGCATGAAGGTGTGCAGCTGCAGTATGCATGTGGCCAGGAATGTAGCCTGACAACATGTAGAGCAGCACCCAGCAGGTAAGTCTGTGGAGGGCCACAGGTGAGGGGGGGCAGATCGAGGCCCCCACAGTGAGGGAGGGAGTGGGGCAGGGGCTGGAGTGAAGAGGCCTCAGAGGCTGGGGTGGGGCAGGCCATGGGACAGAGCTGTGAGCTGTGGGCGGGGCTCAGTTCCCCACTGCTGTGCACACCCCTGGGGAAGCCATGGGGGGCATATGCCCCCCGGATTTGTGCATGGGGTGGAGGCGGGCTGCCTGATATGGGCTTGGGGCTCTTTGCCCTGCTGCCTTTGCCATGTTGTGCCTCCCACTACTAAGTGGGCAAGGGATGTACAGCCAGCGCACAGCTCTTGGGGCAAAGGCAGCAGGGAGCAGAGCCCCAGGCTGCAGCGGACAGCCCTCCTCTGCCCTGCATACAAATCTGGGGGCACATACCCCCCTATGCCTCCCTGGGGTGCACGTGGTGGTGGGGAGTGGCTCCCCCATGCCCCTTGATGGCTCCATCCCACTCCCTACCTTGGCCCCAGGTCCCATTTGCCTCTGCCCCTGTCCCACTCCTTCCCTTACTGTGGGGGCCTGGATCTGTTCCCCCTGCCTCTTCTCCTCCACAGAGTTACCTATTAGGTGCTGCTCTACACACTGCTGGACTGCATTCCTGTAGGGTTACCATATTTCCAGTTTCAAAAAAGA